CCTGGGCAGCATAGCAAGACCTCATCTCTACCAAAAGAAGAAGAAGAAGAAAAAGAAGCCACCCAGAAAATCTCCCCTCACCTCACATTATCCAGAGACGAGTCCCTTAGCTGCAAGGGAGACTGGGAAACCAAGGATTGGGTCTTTTTGACTGCTTTATAGAGAGATGGGCAAGAAACAATTAGGCTGGGAACAGTTTCTGGGTAGGCAGCAACAATCTCTGCCAGCCTGCCCTACAGTCTTCATTTGTCTGATTTTTTTCCACCTGGCGTTATTTAACTTGTTCCTTCATACTCTGTATTTACTGTAAATTGGAAGTTAGCCCTCAGTTAGATTCAAGTTAAGTATTTTTGGCAAGAATATATTCAGAGGTGATGTGGTGACCTTCATACTTTAGTGCATCAAGAAACAGAGGCCAGGTATGCTCACACCGGTAATTCCAGCACTTTGGGAGGCCAAGGAGGGAAGATTGTTTGAACCCAGGAATTCAAGACCAGGCTAGACAACAAAGTGAGATTTGTCCCTACGAATAATAAAAAAATTAGCAGGGTGTGGTGGCATACACCTGTAGTCCCAGATATTTAGGAGGCTGAGGCAGAGGATCACCTGAGCCTAGGAGGCTGTAGTAGCCATGATCGTGCCACTACACTCCAGCCTGGGCAACAGAGTGAGACCCCAACACACGCACACACGCACACACACACACACACACACACACACACACACACACACACACGAAACAAACATGTTCTTCACTAAATTAACCTTTTTTAAGATGTAAGCAGAGGGTGGTACACCACCAATGAAGAGCCAGCCTGCAATCTATATACATATCTTTCTCCCCAAGAATAGGCCCAGGTGGCTTCATATATCTTATGCAAAGTCCAGATTCCTCTATAAAGTCATGTTGGGGTGTCTTGGAATTGTGTTCGATAAGCCATCTGTTTCTCCAATGTGATTTCCTTGGGGACTGATGAGTCATACGAGCAGTGTTAAATTAGGTTAAAAAAGACACCTGAAAGGATCATGAGACAACTTTAAAAATCAAAGGCAGACATGTTGGGAAGTCATTCTTCCTTCACGTCCTTCACGTGAAGCTCTGTGGGCTTTAATATAGAATATATGATGTCAGGCATGAGGACGAACCTTCTAACTAGGCGTGGGCTGGAGGCACTGGACAGGCTGAGGCCTGCGACTCAGCAGCCCTTGTCAGCTAAACGGACCACTCTAGCAGGGCCAGCCCTTGGGGTCCATGTGCATGGCTCCTCCGGGACCTTCGACACAATCACAAGTTTCTATTGGCTTGTTTGCAGCAGCTGTGCCGCACAGCTGTCGCCACTTCCCCACGGAGCTGAGACGTGTGTGCATTCATCCCAAGTGGCCAGGCCTGAGGAAGCAGGAATGCCAGGGGCTGTGTCAAGATGAGGCACCTTCGAAGGGGGTGGGGGTGGGCTCCCAGCCTCATCGGGGCCCTGCAGCCCATTCAGAGCAGGTGGTCTTTCTTCCTGCTTCACTGGGAACATCGAGGTGACCGGGAAGCAGAAACCTGTCCATAGCTGTCTTCCCTTCAACATGACCCGGTGCCTACCTTTATCTGCTTACCCTTCCCTCCATGGCAAGAGTCTCTGTCCCTTACTCTGGAGCCACCCCTGTCCCCTTGGACAGTGCCAATGTCTGACTGTCATCTCAGACATTTGTTTGTTTTTGGTTTGGTTTGGTTTGTTTGTTTTTTTTTTTTTTGAGTTGGAGTCTCACTCGGTCGCCCATACTGGAGTGCAGTGGCTGCTCCCGGCCACCGCAGCCTCAACCTACTGGGCTCTGGCAATCCTTC